TTTTCCCAGAACAGGTCTTAGTATTATAATCCATAGCTCTTTGAAACGTGTCGGCTCTTCCGCATAAGCCAAGCGGCATTCTAAGAAAGGCATAAACGCCTGATTTGGTAATAAATGAGCTTTTTGGCCCATTATCTAATTTCACAATTATCTGAAAGTATCTAGACATGACAGTCTAGCGCTCTCATGTATTTTGTAGATGTGTTTTCCAAATGATTTCCTCTATGATTAGCAAGGAGGATATTTTATTATGTTATTTCATTTTCTATAGTTAATAGCAAAACGGCATGCTTTAAAATCAGTAGGTAGGAGATTAAATTTCTTTTGCCACAATACTACAAGGCTACTTGTGGGGATTTAAATTTATTCATTTGCCTTTATGGAATATGCTGTTCGATTATTTCTTCCTTGACCATATCATAGCAGTAGGCTTTGCTAGGCATGAGGGTAATATTTCCAATTTTTATTATGTGATTTACCACCTGAGTTGACCCTGGGTCATCGTCAAATAAATCTGAAACTTTTCTTACCAACTGATTCAGCTCGCTCTCTCATCCGTGTCCAATTTTTTCAAATCCAACGCTATGTTGGCTACGACATCTATTTCCATCAGGTTATTCATTTTCAACTTTACAATACCTTTTTAATAATTAGTTTTCATTCCCGCAGTCTTTCATCCTAAAATTAGCCTGTAGACTTTTCTCTACAAGGATAACAACCGCCTGATCTTTAATTTTCGCGTTCACATTTAAGGTTACAAGGTATTTCTCCCGCCTTTTTAGCAGGCTTTCGTAGTTTAGTGAGCAGCACGCTAGGCGCGTATTTCAGATGTGCGTGGTTCAATTTCCGGCGAGGGCGTTGCTCATTTTTCATCTTTCCTGCATTCCAAAAAATACCTAATGTCTCTATAGTGGCGCCCGAATTAAAATTGGTGGATGATGATTCTCCACACCCAGGATTTGGCGAGTGGCTCCCCTCGCCCTTTAAAAGCGAAGTATATAAATTATTTCTCCCGCCTTCTTAGCAGGCCTTGTTCATTTTTCATCTCTGTCTTGCTCCCAATTAACCTAATGACTCTACAAAGTTACTTTCCCCACCCATTCACATTATTTACCTTGGGCAACTACCACTCTTTTCCTGCTACAACTTACACTGTATACAGTGTAAAACTCCTCTTAAATTATATTTTTGAAGAAAAAAAAAAAAAAACCACTGCTTTGCGCCCGTGTTCGGTAATACTTCTGATGTTACGCTATTTAACATAATTTGAATCTCTGGAAGGACTAATGTTTTATCAACTCCATATTAATTGAATTTGAGAAGGATTCTTTCTCTCCGGGCTGACTGTATCCTCTATATTTTAATATCCCTGACTAGTTTAAAGGTTTAAAGTCTTTCTCCAGTTTCCTCTTTTGGGATTTATTTTGGCGGCCACTATTAAGAAGAAGAAATTCTTCCGGTTATGAATCAAACTTTGGGCTTATTAACGCCACGGATTTACTAAAATATCCGGTTTTGCGAATATGAATTTGATTCGACAGGCTCAGTAATATTATTTGAATAACCTCCGTATCGGGTTTTATCCCGCACAATAAGTCCTCAACTTGTAAATTCCTCAGTATAAACTTAGTCAACCCTTCAGCCATAGTTTAATATATACTAAACAATTCCGCTTCTAATTTCGCCCTATCTGTCACCACTGGAAATGTTTTCACAAGGGCGGTTTTGTGAAACTCTTTGAACTGTAACTCTCACTGCCTGATTCAGCCAACAAAATTTTGCCAATGCCTTTGTACCAACTCAGTGCCTAGAAGCGGGGTGGTGACTTTCTGTAATTTTGCAACCGAGTAAAGTGCGTTCTAAGGAGATTACTTCCGAACTTCTACCATCGAAAATATTTGCTGGTTTCATCGACACTCCTATTATATGTAAGATGAACCCCAGGCCTTCCAATGAAGTTCCTGATGGCAGGTTGAAACGAACTGTCAGAAAACTAACCATGTGGTTCGTACGTAATGCCAGAAACACTCACTGTCTGAAAATTCAAAAACGTCATCTTAAATACTGACTACCAGTAAAAAGACATCTTAAATACTGACTACCAGTTCTGGTAAGGAATACAGAAAGAAGTTATACTAAAAGATGAAATCATAAAAATTGTTTAATTAACATAAAATTCCCTACAACTTACAGAATAAAACGTTTTCCCTATACAATTCGGCTGAACCCTACTAATCTCATCTTTGTTAGGTACCTGTGCTGAGCCCTATCCTTAATCTTCAAAGAATTTCGGCGTTATTGAAATAAGTGCAGGTTCTCTTAAACTGCACATAATTATATAATATTTTGAAATCTTAAAGAATTTTTTAATTCCATGTTTTTCATTCTTTGCCTTTAGAAAATCATATTTTTTTATTTGCGAGTATTATTATTTAATCATTTTATTAAGATTTCTGGGAATGTTCTTAGATGCTTGACAGCGAAGTATTGAGTTCTTAATTATAAAATGATAAGCTAAGTAATAGTTTTAAAAAATATTTTTTCCGCCTAATAAATTATTAAAACATTTACTCTCTTATTGTTCAGTAGTGATTAAGAGTTGCCGACAGGAGGCGCTGCGAGCGCGTTATACTCTCGACCTACGTAATTTGAATTGAGTATTCTTTCCTTTTGTGTACGTGCTGTAACTGAACTTACAGCTTTGTGATTGAGAATTTAAAATGTTTTGGAGTCAGATTGCTCCTCTACAACAACAAAATGATTAATAAATACTTAATAAAGTAAACATCTTTGTGAAGATAATCTTTGTTATTAAATACAAAGTCAACCAGCTTCTGAGTACAGTTCAAGTGGTCCGTTGAGAATCGCAGGTGAGCTCTCCCATTTTAATCTCTATTAAATTTGAAGAGTATAACTGTAATAAATATGGAAGATGGCTCTAAAAACTAGAAAAAGAGTGTTAAAAAGTTCACTTGACGCGGCATAAAGATAAAGTTGTTTCGTCATTAGAATGTTTCAGATTCAGTTGCGTTGCAGCTATTTGAAACCAAAAACTAATGAAATTTCGAACGAACTTAAATCTGTATTTTATTCAATTTTCGAAACATGTAAACCCGACGAATTGGATAACTTTACGTTAAGGATAAAGAAGATACAGATGATATCGCTTGATGAGTTATGATTGTTTAACTATTGATGATTAAACGTAAATTAATAGTAGTTAAAATATAAGATGAACTTCTGAACATTCTGTTTCTTCTGTGCCGAGTAATAATAATTCAAATGTGTTTTCGGATGTTAAGTTACCGACGCTATCGGCACCGACATTCAATGGTAAAATAGGAGAATTGGATAATGTTTTAAAGATATGTTTAAAGCTAGTGTAATAGAAAACAAATCTATTTCGAGTAATGCAATGAGAATTGCAATATTTAAAAGCTAGTTGTAAGGACGAAGCTCTGAGAGTAATAGTGTCTATTTCTATTTTTCGGAATACAAATTTTCGATATAACATGGAAACTTTTAGAAGACAGGTATTCGAATAAACGTGAGCTTTTAAATGCTATAATAAAAAGCTTTTGAATCAGCCGAATATTAGCGAGACTGTTGTATCTCTCAATAGAATTCTAAAAGGTAAAAAAGATCTCTTACCTTTTCTTTCACCCGGGAGCCGAGCTTGTTCCATTCCAAATTCTTATTCGATGAAATATCTAAATAATTCCAAGATTTTGCATAAAGATTGACACTTCTGTATAAATAAAGATATTATATTTAAATACATTTATACATTTTATATACAATTATTACGTTACATGAAATTTACGCGCTCTTCAGCTAACAGTCATTCGAGTTCGGATTCAGAGTTCTAACTACGTTTTACATAGGATTATTCTCGAGTTTAGATGTAAAGGTACTGATAGTTCGGAGTTTAGATGTGGTGGCGCTGATAGTCCGGAGTTAAAATGTAACATCACCTCCCACCATTGAGATCCGACGATGCGGAGGAACTCAATACACATAGGTCCAGTCGAGGAGAAGGCCGAACAACTCGTCCAGCTCTGGTCATCACTCGAGGACTTGAAGTAGATTCTGGAATACTAGCAGCCTGATCAGCCTGGCCAGTTGCATGGTCGTTTCTATCTCGAGGTGCTCTGTCGGCACCTGGAACGTAGGCACCAGCAGATTCGAGCACGGATTCGGAAGTAGAGATCTCCAACGGGAAAAGCCGGGGCACTGGACGAAGCAGAGTTCCATTTCTTGTCTTGACCCTCGCTAGTCTAACTATCACGTCTTTACTGGGGAAAAGCTCGACTATCTTGGCTAAAGGCCAATGTATGCGTCGTCTCTGGCTGTCTTCCAACAGAACGACATCGCCTACTTGCAACCGTTGAAATTTTCCCTTTTTATTGCCGTCTCAACTGACCAAGATATTCATTACGAAATCTATTTCGTAAATCATGTCTTATTCTCTGTCGGTATTTGGCTCGGCGGTTTAGTTCTTTGGAATCTACGTAGTCCATATCAGAAACGCATGATGTCGGCAATTCTTGCAGGAACATTATAGGGGTCAGTGGTGATGGATCTTGATTATCCTCTGATACGTATGTGATAGGTCGCGAATTAATCACTTTTTCACAGTCACATAATATAGTATATAATTCTTCATAATTTAAGGACGTTCGACCTAATACTCTTCTTAAATTTTCTTTCACCATTCGCACAAGCCTCTCCCACCAACCTCCCCACCAGGCGGCGGTCGGAGGGTTGAACTTCCATCGTATCCTTTGGATAGAAGCAGCTGAACATATGGCGTTCCAATTAACTTTCTTAAGAACACTGTTAGTCCCTAAAAAATTAGTTACGTTGTCGGAATATATCACATAAGGTCTACCTCTTCTGGCAATGAATCTGCGTAAAGATTGGATGAAAGTTTCTGTAGACAGAGAAGTAACTAGTTCGGGGTGAACGGCTCTATAAATGGCACACGTATACAAGACTATCTACGCTTTAGACCCCTCACGGAGATAGAGGGGACCTGCTAGATCTACACCGACGACTTCATAAGTCGCCCCTTCTCTGACTCGATCTTCGGGTGGAAATCCTGGCTCGACTTCCACTCTTTGTGTAACAAATCTTTTACATCTTGCACATTTTCTTAGAATATTTCGAATACTTTTCCTGGATTTTAATATCCAAAAGTTTTCTCTAAGATTTGTCATTAAAGTGCTGACACCAGCATGCTGGAGTTCTAGATGTTTCTCGTAAATTAGTCTCTCAACAAGAATATGTTTTGAAGGTAAAATGATAGGATAGCGGAAATTTTCATTATCTTGACGCTGTAGGACGTTCGTATTGGCTCTTAAAATTCCATTTCGGTCTACGATTTGTCTCAGCGCACGAATGGCGGGATCTTTTATGCCTGTAAATGATTCTTTCTGTACCAATCTACAAAGTGCCTTTTCAGCATTCTCCAATTCATCAACTGAGACATCAGGAGTGAGGTTTTTATCTTTGTTCTTTAAATTGTGATAAAACCTGAAAATCCAAGCGATCATTTTCACGGTTTTTCTATATGAAGAGAAGTATTTGTAGTACCAGTCCAAATTGTCTTCATAATCTAGAAGAGTCAGAATCGTTTTCCTTTTTTCTTTGTTTATAAGTTCTTCATCAAGCTTTTCTTCTACATGGGGCCAATCGTCTTCTGGTAAGTAAAGCCACGATGGGCCCTCCCACCATGCCGATTTCTGTAATTGCTCAATAGTACATCCACTGGATGGGAGATCCACTAGATTTAAACATCCAGGTACATGCCTCCAGTCGGATATTCTGGTAAGCGATCTTATTTCTTGTACTCGATTATGAACAAACGTACCCCATGCTTGATCTCTTCTTATCCACCCCGAAGCTGTAGAAGAATCACTCCAGAACACTGTTCTACAGTTCTCAAGTTTCAAATCTGACAGAATTGTTTTGGCAAGCCTGGCACCTATCAGACAGAAGAGAAGTTCAAGACGTGGAATCGTAAGTTCCTTAATAGGGGCTATTCGACTTCTTGCGCTTACTAACTGAACCTTTACACCTTCGATGGTTTCAGCTCTTAAAAATGTACATGTGGCATAGGCTCTTTTACTAGCATCCGAAAAAACGTGGAGCACTACGGTATCTTCGTTTTCGTAATCAATATTTAACCAACGAGGAATTTCAATCTGAGATAGCAGAGTCAATTGGTTCAACCAAGTTCCAAACTGCTCACTTAGGGGGAAGAGGAAGATCTTCATCCCACTTAATCTTCTGGTTTCCAGTTTCTTGCAAAATTAGTTTAGGAATTACAGTTATCGGTGCAGTAAAGCAATGGGGATCAAAAATTTTCTGGGTAATTGACAAAACTTTTCTTTTGGTAATAGGTTCCCTCAAGTTAAATGTTTCTTCGATCTGGCAACTCAAACTATCTTTTTCTAAATCCCATACTAAGCCTAATACTGGGACAACTTTCGTTTTGTCCTCTATCTCATCGATCATGTCAATGCGAAAATTTGATCGCCAACATCTCAAATTGAAATGCCCTGAAGCCAAAATCAATCTCGCTTCTTGAACGAAATTTTCGGCTTCATCTACGTGATTTAAGCTAATTAACGAATTATCGAGGTAAAAATGAATCCTTCAAAATATTAGAAGTTTCTACAAACTTTGCTGGGACCGTAGTCTAAAGGTGACTAAGTGTAGCGGCTAGCAGAAACGGACTTGATGTGAGTCCAAAAACAACTCGGTAATGTCTGTAAATTTTAAACTTATGTTGATTATCGAACCATAGAAACCTTAAAAAATCTCTATCCTTTTCTGCTATTTTGATTTGACAAAAGGCCTTTTCGATGTCAGATGACACTCCTATGCGATATTCTCGAAAACGATTCAATATACGAGGGTTGGAACTTTAATAGTGGCAACTATTTATTTACAAGGAATACAAAAGTGATTCATGTCACCATGTTTTACAGTCCTTCAATATAGTCGCCAGCATTGTGTACAACTCGTTTCCAACGATGTGAAATTCGCAGAATACCTGTAGCAGCGCCTGTTTTGTTGATAGTTTGAATGGACCGATCTACTGCCGCAAGAATCTCAGGAACAGTTTGGAAGCGAGTGCCACGAAGTTGTTCCTTCATCTTAGGAATTAAGTCATAGTCACAAGGGCTTAGATCTGGGGAGTATGGTGGATGGCAAAGCACTTCCCAGCCTCATCGCTTGAACAAATCAGTCACCGCTTGCGCTGCATGCGGCCGAGCATTGTCATGCAAAATGAGAGGAGCGTTCTGCAGAAAGTGTCGCCGTTTTTTCTCAAAGCTGGTCGGAGATTGTGCTCCAAAAATGAGCAGTAAATACTGCGCAGTGACGGTCTGCTGTGGGGGAACGGTATGCGTTAGGATGACATCATCACAGTCGTACACGAGAATCACCATAACTTTCACATTGCTGGAGTTCTGACGAAATTTCGAACGTCGTGGTGACCCGTGATGACGCCATTCGTTTGATTGGCGTTTCAGTTCTGGCTGGTACGATCGGGCCCAAGTCTCATCCAGCGTAATGATACGGCGTAAAAAAGCATCTCCTTCGCGCTCATAGCGCTCCAGGTGGGTTCGGGCATCATCGTATCGTAGCCATTTCTGCATTTCCGTCAAATGATGGGGAAGCCATCGGTGAAGCAATTTTTCTCCTGGACAGGTGTTCCTTCAGAATGTGCAGCACAGTCGTATGCGCTAATCCTGTTTGTCCGGCCAGCTGACGAATCGTTTGGTGGCGATCACTGTCCATTAGGGCGGCAAGAGCTTGCACGTCTGCATCACTGACACTCGGACGACCTGGCCGCAGCATGTCTGCCACGTTTTGGCGTCCTTCATTGAATGATTTCACCCATCTTGCTACGGTTCTGTAAGGCAATGCAGATTCCCCACAAGCCTCTTGAAGCCCTTGATGACACTGTCGTGCTGTACGACCTCTGGCACATTCAATTTTTATCCAAACATCGTTGTTCTTAATCAAAACCGTAAAAACAACCTTATATTTAGCGTAGGTATAATGAAACACTCAATCGATTTCGAGGGCAGCTAAAGGTCCCTCCTCATCAGGAGAAAGAAATACATAGAAAGAAGAAAATAGGAATCACAGAAACACGTGGTGCTTATCAGCACTGCACGTCGTTATAACTAGATTTTTAATCAGAGTTGCACTGGCCGCCTACTTTTACTGAGCCAGGCTGTCTGATCAAGCATAAAGAAATATTAGCGAAGTTAAAATAGGAAGCGAGGGGCAAATGCACATTACGCTCAAAATCTGAAAATTTTTTTTTTTTTATTTGAAGTTCAGATTTTGAGCGTAATGTGCATTTGCCCCTCGCTTCCTATTTTAACTTCGCTAATATTTCTTTATGCTTGATCAGACAGCCTGGCTCAGTAAAAGTAGGCGGCCAGTGCAACTCTGATTAAAAATCTAGTTATAACGACGTGCAGTGCTGATAAGCACCACGTGTTTCTGTGATTCCTATTTTCTTCTTTCTATGTATTTCTTTCTCCTGATGAGGAGGGACCTTTAGCTGCCCTCGAAATCGATTGAGTGTTTCATTATACCTACGCTAAATATAAGGTTGTTTTTTACGGTTTTGATTGTCACATTAGCGTGTTTCTCTTCTAGTCTATCGTTGTTCTTGTTTTGAAAACATCCTGACAACACTTACTTTAGACCGCGAGCTAATACAAGGATCCGTTCTTCGCGTCACTCCGCATGCGCGTGACGTAGGCAGGACGATTCTTTTTGCTGAGAGGTAAGGTAGGTATGTAGTTTACGTGTGGTATACGCGATATTCTTTGGTTTATTTTTGTTGCGTAGCGTTTTTTCAGCTGTGTTGCCACTATTAAATTCCAACCCTCGTACGTGAAATAATTTTTATTAAATTTGGTCCTTTACTCAAACAATCATTGAGAGAGGGTGAATTCTTAGAACGTGCAGATGAATTGAAAACAGGCCGTATCTTTGTAGTTTCACTAGACTCTTTTATTACAGGTCTGGTGTGGGCAAAGTAATGCACTCCTTCCTCCTTTTTTTTCCTCAGTTACTACCTCAATAATGTTCTTTTCGCTTCCCACTCATCAATGATCAAATATTTCTTCGTAATCTTTTCTTCTTGCGTGTGTTAATTAGTTTACTTTCGGTTTTGACGAGGTGTCTTTCTGCCATAGTACGGTTACTGGATAAGACGGATTTATCTAAAATAAAGGGTAAGGTTACTTCATATCTCCCTGAGCTATCTCGTTTTACACTTTTTAAGAAATGTTTTCGGGTTTCTTCTTCTTCCAAGACACTTTTCGTTTTGTTTTCCTCACTTGAAATCCCCAATGTGTCTAAACGCCAAAGATTGGACAAATTTGTATCGGAAACATGTAAGGATAAAGAAAGAACGGACAAGGGAAGTCGACGTATTCGCATTCTCTTTTAATCTTGCCCATTAAAGTCCAGCCTAACTTGGTCTCAAAGGCTACGTAATCCCCCGCAAAAATGTTCAATTCTTTCAGTGAACAACATGTGCTGCGGTGTCCGCTCCTAACAGCATATGAATCTCTTCCGGATTTTCTTGAAACAGACAGAGATTTCCATTCTCATGATTGTCGTTGATAAGGATTCCCCTTTTTCCCATTACTTTAATCAACTTTTCGTCTTTGATCTTAGGTAGTGACGAACAAAATTTTCCCCAGATCTGGTCTAGTGCTTCGATTTTACACCTGTACTTTCCATCTAAATTAGTTAAATCTATTTGATAACGATTATGATCTTCCGAAACTTCTACAACCCCCAAATAACCCATGTTTAATTCTTTCGTCAGTTCCTATCTTTTCTAATTTCAACGTTTTAGCAGCATATTGACTTATGTACGTGTTCTGACTTCCGGTATGTCTATTAGCAGTCTTAAATAACCCTTTAAGGTTTTCCCAGCTACCCCTACGACCAAAGTTTGTAAATAAACTTCAGAACGGTTGCTTTGATTCGAAAAGTACTTTATTTTCAACTTCCTGGACAGTTTTTGATCGTTCCCTTTTTACTCTCGGAATTAATTCTGTTACACATAATCGTAGAATGCTTAGAGTGACAATGGGAGCAAAAAATGTTAGAATCACAAAATTTGCTGATGTGACCCTTATTTTGTAAACACCTAAAACAAGTGCCATTTTTGCGTAGTATTTCAACCTTTTCGTCATTCGTTAGTTTCTGGGCAATAGGACATTTATGGCTTGAATGGGAAAAATCTCCGCAAAAAACGCATGCCTTAGTCAATTATCTTTAACACCCGTGGCCACTAAATCAGAAGCAGAAGAAGCTTTCGTTTCTAATTTATTGCTCTTTCCATTGCTGAAATGACGAGTGTTTACTTTCTGGACTGCATACGCAGACTGACGGCGCCCACTATTCGCTGTAGTACGCTCTAAATTCTTATTTATGACTTCCGCCCTTTCGTGTGAATCTAAACATTGAGCTATAATCAAGCACAGGCTTATAATATTACAATACGCACTTCCATTACTCATTCTGTTAATCTCAAGCAAAATATCTTGGGGAAGTGATTTCAGTATTATTGGACATAACACACTTGATAAATTCTCAAGAGACTGAACCAAATTTTCTAAACATCTTAATTCGATAGAAATATTATCATAAAATTTTCTAAACGCGCGAACATCATTCGAGATTTTCAACGGTTTAGTGTTCAAAATGTTATTTATGTGAGTGTAAATGAGCACATCTGTTTTCGCAAATCTTTCTTTTAGAAGATCAATTGCGGAATCGTAATTAGCAGCAGTAATCGGTAATCCTTCGACTGTATTTAAAGCAGAACCACCTAAATGAGCTTTCAAATAATTAAATTTGTCTATTTTATCTAATGAATCATTTTATTATGAATGGCAGACTCGAAACTGTTCCAAAAGGTTAGCCAGTTGTTTATATCTCCGTAGAATTTCGTTAAACTTAGGTAATTTAATTCGAACAGACTCGTTATGTTTTGTTTCGTTTTGACTGTCAGTACTGAACTGGTTATTTGACTACCGTTTCAGTAGATTTCAGTAGATTTGCGTTTTAATTCGTCGATTCTTTTGGAGGTACGGAAACTGCATTTAACGACCTTTTGACGATATTCTTCAGATTTTTGGAATTCAGCATCAAATTCTTCGACTTTAAAAAGAGGTTTCTAATTCTGTATCGACACTTTTAAGCGATTCGAAATTATTCTTTAATA